CAAGCCCAACTCCTGAAAAACAACCCCACACCATAATCCCCCCTCCACCAAACTTTACACTTGGCGCAATGCAGTCAGGCAAGTACCGTTCTCCTGGCAACCACCAAACCCAGACATGTCCATCGGATTGCTAGAGAAGCGTGATTCGTCACTCCAGAGAGCATGTCTCCACTTCTCTAGAGTCCAGTGGCGGCATGCTTTACACCACTGCATCCGACGCTTTGCATTGCACATGGTGATGTAAGGCTTGGATGCAGCTGCTCGGCCATGGAAAACCATTCCATGAAGCTCTCTATGCACTGCTGTTGTGCCATTCTGAAGGCCATATGAAGTTTGGAGGTCTGTAGCTATTGACTCTGCAGGCAGTTGGTGACTTCTGCGCACTGTCCGCTTCAGCATGTGCTTACCCCGCTCTGTCATTTTACGTGGACTACCACTTCGTGGCTGAGTTGCTGTTGTTCCCAGTTGCTACTAGACATGTGCACTGCCAAAAAATTTGTTTTGTTTTGTTTCGTTTTAAATTCGGATTTGTGTTATTTCGTTTTTCGGGATTCGGGTGTGAAAGTCAATTCGGATTCGGAATTCGGATTCGGATGAAATTCGGTAGCGGTAGGTCGAACGTTCGTTTCGTTTTCTGTTCTTATTCGTTTCTTATTTGCTTCGTTCGTTCGTTCGTGACATTTGAGGGGAAAAAATATTTTTCTCCTTCTCTAATGTCACTTTGCTCCAACGAACGAAACGAATAAGAACCGAATAAGAACCGAATAAGAAACGAATAAGAAACTAAAACGAAACGAACGTTCGAACTACTGCTACCGCATTTCGGAAATGGAAATTCGGATTCGTTTGCATTCGTTATGTCTGTAATTCGGAATTCGGATACATCCGAATGTCTGAATTTCCGAAAATTCGTCCGAATTTCGATTCGGAACGAAACGAATCGCATATGTCTAGTTGCTTCCACTTTGTTAAAATACCACTAACAGGGGACCGTGGAATATTTAGTAGCAAGGAACTTTCACGGAACATCTGAATCCAATGATTTGGAGGGGTGTCCCAATACTTTTGGCAATGTAGTGTATATTTAGTGAGTGGAGAAACATACAGCAATATAAACCTGACAGAGGTACAAGCCCCTCACCATTATCCAAAATAAAAATAAACAGTTTGGGTTTATATGCACTATCATTCTCTTTTGCTCTTATATTTCCTTATTTATTTATTTTTCAATTACATGCAGACCAAGCTGACTAAACAAAAAAAAAAATATGACAATGGTTGTCCCAACTCTAAAACTTGCAGGGTGCTATCAATATTCAGCATTTATTCAGATTGTTTATATCTGTCGTTGCCAGTGCTCAAACACTCCTGAATACTATAATTACTTGCATTACCTACATATAGCTTTGAAAATACAATCTGTTGTATTCCCGTATTATCAGATAACAAGATGATACAGGAACCTCTGATGTCAAAAGGGGGTGGATGGGCTTCTGCATTTTGACAATGCCTGGACATGAAACTCAAGTACTGAGCAGGAAGGCTAAGATTCCTGTAGAATGATAAGAGGTGAAATGGCACTTTGGTTTTGACAAAAGAGAGTCATCTGCTGAGAGTAAAGCTGGCCATACACTGGCTGGGCTGGACAAGAAAAAACACTAGGTTCGCCGACCACGCTGAACAGCGTAGACAGGTGAATTCTCACCATTGGGCTATGGCCACTCTCAGAATACCGAAACAGTGACTGCTGACTGTTTGGCCAAAATTTTTCAGACCAGCTCTTTTGAAAAAGAGTTGACTGAAAAATCGACTTTTGTCAAACGGAGAGGTGCCGACATAGCCACATTGATGGGGAGGGGGGGTTGGCGGCGCGGGGGGGGGGCGCATTGTGGAACCTGGCCTTGGGGCGGCAGGGGGAGTAAATCCGGCCCTGCACACACTGCTCACATTCAGACCAAGTACTATAAGTAGGACTTGGCAAAAATTCAAGCACTATATGGCCAGCTTAAAGGAGAATTATAGGGAGAGTAAAATACACTCACCCCCTTATTTAGAGCGACATGTGACACTGAAGCTGTCACATGTCGGCTCTATTGATTGGGAACTGAGCGATCACATACCGCTGATGGCTCAGTTCCAGATCTTCTCCCTGCAGGAAGCGGTGACTGTTAGTTACCGCACCCCACAGGAATTCCCCCCTCCGCTCTCTCTATTCCCTCAGCGCTGACTGGAGGGATGAACAGGAGAGGGGCAGGCACAGCTGGCTCGGCCTGTAGGCTGAGCCAGCTGTCAATCAGGCAGCGGGGTGGATCCTGACAATATTGTGGGGATCTGTTGTGGCTCTAGCGCAGCTCTCTGCTGTTAGCATATGGTGGGCAACAGTTTTGGGTCACATGAGGAAATTATTATATGTTACCCTAAAGAGAAATATGGCAAAAAAAGGTTGGGCCATAGTTCTCTTTTAAGTTGGCCACCTTTAGTAATGCACATATTTTGTTAGTACATCAATTAATGGTTAATACAAGTGCATGCTAAGCCGCTGTTTAATCCAGGCCCCTGAACCATATAATTATTACTACAGTGGATTATAAGGGAGTAAATGGTCACAGCCCTGATGATCTGGAACAATGCTGCTAAACCACGAGATTGCTTTCTCTGCATTTATTTTAATTACCGGTATCCCTTGTTAATGTCAATACAGAATGATGCTGTACAATGCAATGAGCAAACTGCTGACCCATAATCAGTCGGATCAGACCAGTACAGGATGGATTCTGACTGGTTGCTATGTGTGATGCATTTTGCACTTAGTGATTTGGTCCTTGTAGTTTTTTACTGAATGAACCTGGCAATGTGAACAAAGAGGTAACAGAGGTAAAAGCGGCACTTTATACTTTTAATAGGCAATGTTTTGGTGTACTGTATGCAAGAAATACTTTGGCAGCTTGTGTGTCTATGCTGTTTGTCTGTTTTTATGGTGGCAGTGCTAGTGAGTGCTACCTTTGTGGTACCGAGCAGAATAGCAAGTCAATGAAAAGAGTTTAAAAAAAAAGTTTAAAACATATTTTTAAAAATGTAAATAAATATTTAATTTAAAAAAGAAAGCTTTTTAAAAAAGAAAAAAATAATAATTGGGTGGAGCTAGCAGTGATAGCTAGCTGAGCCCAACTGTTTCCTATTGGTCAGCACCTTCTAGAGTCTTCTAGCAGGTGCCGGCCAATGAATAACAACTGGGAGGAGGCGGCCGTGACGTCAGGGCCGGCTCTGCCCAGTTGTTATTGTTTAATGATAGATCAACATCCCAGGTGATTTGGGGACACTGATCTGTCATTACAACTGGGCGGAGCCAGCCGTGAGATCACACCTGGCTTCACTCAGCTGTCATTTGCGGGGCTTACGGCTGGCCTTCGGCAGGGCGTTTGCCCCGCTTCGGGTGTCACTTTGCTCAGTCGAGCCGAAGCATATGCCTTTGGCTCGGTTGAGCCGCTCGGCCGCCATTCGGCTGCTGTACGGGTTATAGTGAATAGCCCATACAGCAGCCCTTCAGTTCGACTGAACCAAAGGCCTCCGGCTGGATCCTTCGGCCCTTTTAGGGGTACAGACATTTGAATAATTATCTTCAACCTGCTACACTCCTGCCTATGCAGCTTTTTCCAAATCTTGATTCAATGTCACAATCCAATCCAATTTCAAGTTACTATGAATTAAATATCTTACCTGTTTATAATCTTCAGACACCAAGATGAAGCCATTATTGTCAATGAGATAACAGTTCAGTTCCTATAAAAGATATCATACAAATAGTATTTAGATTCCTGATTTATTAATAATTAAAATAACTGCACATGCACAGTACACAGAAATGGCATCTTAGCAAAATGACTGAAAACAACTTAGTTATTATGTATATACTATTGCTGCAGTCTTACTTTATTTGACTTATTCTAGGAGAGTGCTAAAAACAAAATTGCAGTACCCATGAGAACCAATCAGAGTCCCCATACACTAGTACTGAATGTTTACTATAGGTAACCGCACTTTGCACTTATTGCTTTGATTCTTGCACTTGAATTCAATAAGGGCAAAAGTGGGATGCTAAGACTTTTAATTAATCTTAACAAGTACTATTCAGTGATAACAATTATACTGTAAGTAGGCTGTCATTGCTAAAACTACTTCTACAAAGACTAGTTTGCTGCCATTCATGCTGATCTAATAGGTTTACAGAATGGGAGATCAGCTATGGCACCCTTCAACATGAATTATACTTCCAAATTCCAGATACAGCACCACCTGCTGGTAAATCTAATATGAAGGCATCTATAGTTAAAACATTCTACAGTCAGAGATTGACAACAACTATGTATTCAAGCTAAGGATAAGGACAATGGGTGAAAAGGTGTAGTTGTTACCCAAAGTGACTTTGATTTGTATTTCCATCTTTATAAAAGCATCAGCATGAGGCACTGCATGCAACCGAGAGGAATAAGGCACTGCGTGGGTGTAATGCATTAGTATGAGGCACTGCATGCAACAGAGAGGAATAGGGTACTGCATGTAATACAGATAAATGAGGCACTGTATGTAATAATAAGCTATGGGACACTGTGTGTAATATAAATAAGTTAGTCCTGAGTGGCTACAAAAATGTTGAGACAAGATGGAGGAGGTTTGGCTTTAACACAGTGAAACAGAAAAAAGGTTTAGACCAAACATATGGCAGTGCCAGTGCAAAATAAGAGGTGCTGGTGATGCAGGGTATGTATTATATATA